TCACATCCCTGCCGCTGGCTGCGGCGTGACTTGTGCGGTGGGAGCAGGTGTGCCTGTCACATCCCTGCCGCTGGCTGCGGCGTGACCTGTGCCGCGGGAGCAGGTGTGCCTGTCACATCCCCGCCCCTGGCTGCGGCGCGATCTGTGCCGCGGTAGCAGGTGTACCCGTCACAACGCTGCTACTGGCTGCCGCGTGACCTGTGCGGTGGGAGCAGGCATGCCTGTTACATCCCTGCCGCTGGCTGCGGCGCGATCTGTGCCGTGGTAGCAGGTGTGCCTGTCACATCCTGCTCCTGGCTGCCGCGTGACCTGTGTCGTGGGAGCAGGCATGCCTGTCACATCCCTGCCCCTGGCTGCGGCTGTCCGACAGTCCAGACGGCAACACGCTGCCCGGGACCGGCCGTCGTCCCGCCGTCAGAGCATTACCGAGCGGCCGGGCCATATTTGGGGCCGGCCGTGGATTCGTGATCGCGGCCGGCGCCGCCACCGGCCCGACCCCGGCTCTGGGGCGTCACGGCGACATCGCCGCTGCCAGAGACAGCGGCGACCGGCCGGCCCGGGAAGACGGACGGCCGCCGCCGATGGTTTGTTGTTACGGGCGAATGAGGAGCGCGCGCACGTGGCGGCCGAATTTGTGGGAGGACGAGGATATTCAGTGAGATGGCGGTGGTGGGAACAACGTGAATGGCGCTCGGGAGTGGCGGAAGGTTTGGGCGCTGCTCGAAGCGCGCGACACGGACGCATTCAGTGGTGAACGCAGGGTAACGCGCGTGGGAGACGTGACGCGGACTCCACATGTGACTACGGAGACAAACGATTGGCTATGATCTTGACAAAGGCTGACTAGTGATGGTGCCGGATAGAGATGATGCATAACATGGATTCCTACAGACGCCGCTGGGAGAGATCAGCATACATCAAGCATACGATTGTATTAGGATCAGGACAACACCGATGACTGACGGCACTGGATACCGACCAGACGTGAGACAGGTGACTGATGGCCACAAGCACAGCTGGCGAAATAAGTGTGACGGTGCAGACGGCTCCAGCGAATATACCACGGATGCAAACGACGGACTGCAGACAGGTGGACTGCTTTAAAGAAGCAATCAAAGTCTGGCCCGTCGGCCCGATAGGTGTTCTCGTGATGTTTTCGGTGGGATGTGCTGGCGTCCTGTCGGGTGCAGGGGTGTGCCTGATTCGATACAGACACGGGAATTGCGGGTGATGGATGTACTGCTCGACCGGGAGCCGTGGTCAGCTTCATCAGCGCTGTGTCTGCCTAGCTGACGGCGGTGCCCACTGTGCCTGCCTAGATGACGCCGGCGGTGTCCGCTGTGTCTGCCTAGCTGACAGCGGTGCCCACTGTGCCTGCCTAGATGACGCCGGCGGTGCCCGCCGTGTCTGCCTAGCTGACGGCGGTGCCCACTGTGCCTGCCTAGATGACGCCGGCGGAGCCCGCCGTGTCTGCCTAGCTGACGGCGGTGCCCACTGTGCCTGCCTAGATGACGCCAGCGGTGCCCGATACTTATGAACTGCCGACCGACCGGCGCCGAAACACGACTGCTGCCGTCTGTCAGCTGACCTTTCCATGTCGGTCGCACCAAACAATGCTTGTGTTCTGAGACTGATTATACACAGTAGCTGGACCTCGGCGGCAGATGCTCCTCCTAGCGTCTGGTCCTTACAGCGGCTTGTCCTACCTGAGGCGGTCCTACAGAGAGCTGCTGCTGCAGAGCCTCCGTCGCAACAGGAGCAGGAGATCGCGTCGCCCTGCAGGTAGCCTGATCGGTATGGGACGGATCGGATCCTATCGGATCCGATCGGATCCGATCGGCCGGCGCGCGCGGCCGGAACTCTATCCGGCTGGTCTCCGCAGCGCTGGCGCGTGCGGCTTCGCGAGTCTCGGCCGCGCGTGTCCGGCTGTTTGACGGGTTGTGAGGCGCGTGCGTTGCGCGGAGGCGGCCGCGAGCGGCGGGATGGTATGCCGCCTGGACTTGCAGGGACCGCTGTCGGACGCCGCCCGAGCGCACGCGCTCGAGGTCGCACGCCATATGGAACCACAGGTCGCTGCTGTAAACCATCTGGGCCCGCAGCCCGCTGCCTGACGCTGTCGGCGGCATCAAGTGAACGGCTGGACTCTGCACTCCGTCCGAGGAACGGAAGCCGATCAGTGTGCTGTCGTCCGTTATGGGCGTGGGGCGGCGGCATACTGTGCAGCGGGTGCAGGAGAGCTGCCGCCGCGCGCCGAGCGGTTTGGCTCAGATGTCGCACTTTACCAGCTGGTGTAGGACATAGCCGCCCGTCACAGATTTTTGCCGGGCTATGATCTCTGATTATTTCGGTGCTGCACTAGGAAATACCAAACCCTCCACTCTGTTTGTGCGAAGTTCTTTATGCTAATTGGAGGCAAATGAATGATCAGTGACGGGCCTCCGCGTTCTTGGTAAGGATCGAACACTGCATGCCACCTCAGCTTGGTGCAAGAACAAACAAAAATGTTTAGCTCGAGAAGTTCAGTCATTAGCTTGCCTTTGGTCCGGCTAACGATCAGTCTGGCACTGACTCTGTTGTCCGCCAGAACAACATGAAGCTGTTTTCTCTGCGGCTGATCTCCCTGCCTTTTGTATCAGCCTGGGACGGTGAGTTCTGTGATCCGGCGCTGGCACTCAGACACAGCTGGCGTGGTCAGGCGCTGGCACTCAGACACAGTTGGCGTGGTCAGGTGCTGGCTCTCAGACACAGCTGATGTGGTCAGTCGCTGGCACTCAGACACAGGTGATGTGGTCAGGTGCTGGCACTCAGACGCACTGATGTCGGTCAGGCGCTGGCACTCACAGGGGGGCAGGCGCTGGTACCCACTTCACAGACCGTGTGTGTCAGGCGCTGGTACTCAGACACAGCGTGGCGCTGGTCAAGAGCTGGCTCAGCCTGCTACGCGGTCAGGCCTGGACCACAGCTGGCGTGGTCAGGTGGCACTCAGACACAGTGCGTGGTCGGTGGCACTCAGACACAGTGATGTGGCGCCTGACAGGTGTGTGGTCAGGTGCTGGCACTCAGACGCAGCTGATGCGGTCAGGCGCTGGCACTCACAGCTGGTGTGGGCAGGCGCTGGTACTCAGACACAGCTGGCGTGGTCAGACGCTGGCACTCAGACACAGTTGGCGTGGTCAGGTGTTGGCACTCAGACACAGCTGATGTGGTCAGGCGCTGGCACTCAGACACAGGTGATGTGGTCAGGTGCTGGCACCCAGACGCAGCTGATGCGGTCAGGCGCTGGCACTCACAGCTGGTGTGGGCAGGCGCTGGTACTCAGACACAGCTGGCGTGGTCGGATGCTGACACTCAGGTATAGCTGGCGTGGTCAGGTGCTGGCACTCAAATACGGCTGATGTGATCAGGCGCTGGCACTCAGGTACAGGTGGCGTGGTCAGGTGCTGGCACTCAGACACGGCTGGCGTGGTCAGGCGCTGGCACTCAGACACAGCTAGTGTAGTCAGGCGCTGGTACTCAGACACAGCTGGTGTGGTCAGGCGCTGACACTCAGTCACTGCTGGCGTGGTCAGGTGCTGGCACTCAGACACAGCTGGCGTGGTCAGGCGCTGGCACTCAGACACAGCTGGCATGGTCAGGCGCTGGCACTCAGACACATCTGATGTGGTCAGGCGCTGGCTCTCAGACGCAGCTGATGCGATCAGGCGCTGGCACTCACAGCTGGTGTGGGCAGGCACTGGCACTCAGACACAGCTGGTGTGGTCAGGCGCTTGTACTCGGACACAGCTGGAATCCAATCCAGGTCTGTAATGCGCGGAACCCTGTCACCTGTCCGCAAACGAAAAGGTAGGAGCGCTGGCCGCGAGTGTCGCGTGTCAGAGTCCTTCGCGGACCCATCAACAGGTGGCGTTTGATGTGCCGACGCGCGCTGTCAAACCACAGTGACTCGGCGCGGCGCTGTTCATCCAGGCGCTAAGATCACATTTCCAGGTGCTAATGGGCCGTCCTGGATAAGCCTGTGTCTCAGAGGTTGAGAGCGGGGGCGGGGTAGGACTGAAAAACCTGTTACGCCGTTTCACGGTGCGGCGGCGGTAAAATGCTCGTCAATTACCGCCACGTAATGGGCAGAACCGGAAACTCAATAAAAAGGCGGCCGTCGCCTTTTTCCAGTCATGGACATCTTTTGACAACTACACAAGATGAGCCGTCGTTATTTTCATCTGTCTGGGTCGTCTCCGTGTACCTGGCACGGGCCTTTTCAGAGCCGGGTGTCGTGACGTCCGGTGACCGGTCCGACCCGTTCGCTGCCCTGATGGTCGGGCCACGTCCCTGGCGGAGCCCGAGCCATGAGCAGCCGCACCCCTCAGTCAGGCGGCACCTGTTCACGTCTTTTAACCTGGCCTGCCGCCGCTTTCCGGCAGGAGATTGGGGTTCTGCTTTAGGAGTTGCTTGAAGACTGCCTGCGTTCGAATGCTTGGAACAGCGCTTGCTAGAGCGTTTTGTGGCGTTTTGGGCCTTCGTGGCATTTTATGCTCAATCTATCGATTTGTTCTGGCAACTACGGATTATCGTCACAGGCTGTCTCTGACCACCACCACCTGTCCCTGGCACTTGTGCCTGTGTACGATCTATCTCGTTCCACACTCTACCCTGACCAGCTCAGTCTCCTGAGGTCCAACTCATTCATAGATTTTTAAAAACGTTGGAATTAGCTTCGAACATGAAAACACGAAAACTTTCTCGAGAACATAAGTTCTCTCATGAACTCTCTCTCTCTCTCCTCCTCCTCTCTCCTCTCTCTCTCTCTCTCTCTCTCTCTCTCTCTCTCTCTCTCTCTCTCTCTCTCTCTCTCTCTCTCTCTCTCTCTCTCTCTCTCTCTCTCTCTCTCTCTCTCTCTCTCTCTCTCCTCTCTCTCTCTCTCTCTCTCTCTCTCTCTCTCTCCTCTCTCCGCCCGTGTCTGCTTCTGCGCCACATCTCTGTACGCCCCGACCCTTCCGCCGCAGGCTGCCGATGTGACCCGGCCGGCTCGGTCAGCACCAGCTGCGACATCCGGACTGGACAGTGCACGTGCCACCCGTACGTGACCGGCGACTCCTGCGACCGCTGCCAGGTGAGGACGCGCACTTACTCTACCTTAATAGCCAGCTGATTGGCCCGCAAGACTGAATGTAATCCTCAGGCCGCAGATCCCGCGTGTTGCAGCCGCCCACTTCGAAGCCCGAGAGCGTACAGCACCACGATCGGCTACACCCTCCGGGTGTAGGTTCACTTGTCTCTGGTTAGGGCCTGGGTTATATATCGGGAACAGACCTTCACAGGTGTACCCTATTGCGACAAGACCTTACAGGCGCAAAACGATCCCATCTGTAGGTGCGCTCTATAACGCAGGTAGTCTAAGGTTAGATTATTAACAGTTGGACGGGTTTCCTGCATGCGTTACGTGAATAAGCGAATCTACTTGCGGGTATGCCGCGGGCAAAATCACAAATAAAGAATGGCATGATGATGGGAATGTCTCTGCATGGTCATGTGTTTTACTTTGAATGTTTTCATTCCGCTTCCTGACAGAGCTGCACAATATATATATATATATATATATATATATATATATATATATATATATATATATACAAACACACACACGCGCGCACACACACGCACACACACACGCACACACACGCGCGCGCGCACACATGCATACACGCACGCATATATATATATATATATATATATATATATATATATATATATATATATATATATATAGTGCGTGCATGCGTGCGTGCGTGCGTGCGTGCGTGCGTGCGTGCGTGCGTGCGTGTGCCATATACTACACAGACTCACTTTTTGCTCATCAGCAAACTCTCTCAACACTTTCCGCAAGGTGAGCTCGCACATTAGCGACCCGCCACCTGCTCGCTATCTAGCTCACACATCTTCAAGTTTCCTGAAGATGGCTTGCAGGGATAGACTACTTTAGTTATGGGAGGTACGCTTATTCGTTGTCAAGAGAAATCAGGAAAAATCTTCAGCGGGAGGCCGAGGCCCAAGTTACGTGGCCAGACGTCGGCCGCTGTCTTGCAATTTCTCCCGACGAGCTGCACAAACGTATGTGCTTGGCGCCTTGTGAAGCCGCTGTCGGGCCCTCGCCTGCGGCCGCTGCAGGCGGACCGGTGTTGGGTGGGAACAGACCGGACCCGTCGGCGGCAGGTGTGCGCAGCCGCGCCGGTGACGAGAGGGACCACCGCGGCCCGGACCGGTCTCTCGCATATCTGCCGCCGGGACAGGCGCGTGCCGTGCGCGGAGACGGCCGCCTGTCAGCGACGCGCGGGCAGGGGCTGCGATACGGCATCTGCCACGGCCGGCCGCTACACCACATCTGCCACGGCTGGTCGCTGCATCACATCTGACACGGCCAGCCGCTGCACAACATCTGCCACGGCCGGTCGCTGCATCACATCTGCCACGGCCGGCCGCTGCATCACATCTGCCACGGCTGGCCGCTGCATCACATCTGCCACGGCCGGCCGCTGCATCACATCTGCCACGGCCGGCCGTTACACCACATCTGCCACGGCTGGTCGCTGCATCACATCTGACACGGCCAGCCGCTGCACAACATCTGCCACGGCCGGTCGCTGCATCACATCTGCCACGGCCGGCCGCTGCATCACATCTGCCACGGCCAGCCGCTGCATCACGTCTGCCACGGCCGGCCGCTGCACCACATCTGCCACGGCTGGCCGCTGCATCACATCTGCCACGGCCGGCCGCTACACCACATCTGCCACGGCCGGTCGCTGCATCACATCTGTCGCGGCTGGCCGCTGCATCACATCTGCCACGGCCGGCCGCTGCATCACATCTGCCACGGCTGGCCGCTGCATCACATCTGCCACGGCTGGCCGCTGCATCACATCTGCCACGGCTGGCCGCTGCATCACATCTGTCACGGCTGGCCGCTGCATCACATCTGCCACGGCCGGTCGCTGCATCACCGCCGCCGTCCCGCCGCTACACCACATCCGCCCCGGCCGGCCTCTACATGACATCTGCCACGGCCGGCCGCTGCACCACATCTGCCACGGCCGGCCGCTACACCACATCTGCCACGGCCGGCCTGCATCATCTGCACGGCTGCCGCGCATCACATCTGCCACGGCTGGCCGCTGCATCACATCTGCCACGGCCGGCCGCTACACCACATCTGCCACGGCCGGCCGCTGCACCACATCTGCCACGGCCGGCCGCTACACCACATCTGCCACGGCCGGCCGCTGCACTACACCGCTGCCGTCCCCTCGCTGCCACCGTCCCGACTCCGACTCCGGCTCTGGCTCTGGTTCTGGGTCCGAGTCCGTCCCTGGCCCTGGCTCGGGAAATCGTCACGGCTCCGGCTTCGGCACCTGCTCCTGGCTCTGGTTTTGACTCCGGCTTTGGCCCTTCCTCGAGCTCGGCTCCGGTTTCGGTTCTGACTAAGGCTCCGGCTCTTTGGTTCCGGTTCAACTGCGACTAGACTCCGACTGTGACTCGGACCCCGGCTCCGACTCTCGCCCCGGTTCCGGTCTTCGCCCTCGGTCCATCACCATGGACCTGCTGCTGCTGCTGCTGCTGCCTGTCGCACCGTCCTCATCTGAGGGTACAGTTTGGGACAGCTCCAGGTTTGGTTCCGGTCCTAACTCAGGCTTTGCTTCTGATCTAACTCCGTCGGCCTGACGACAGGAGCAGTCTCAATGTCACTGCCGTTGCAGGTTTGGCCAACTGGTCCAGCCCAGTCTGCGGATGCCGGCCAGCACCACTGAGGTGCGGTGCCGTCTGGGATGGCAGTGCGGCCCTGCCATACCGGTGCCAGCTTCGCAGTTCGGTCCTGTCCCATTGGCACCGGCTCGGTGGTCCGGCCCAGTCCTGCAGACGCCGGTCCGGTGGTCCGGCCCTGCCCCACCGGCGCCGGCTCGGTGGTCCGGTCCTGCTCTACCTACGTCGGTTGGGTGGTCCAGTTCACCCCTGCAGGCGCCGCTTCGGTGGTCCGGCCCTGCCCTACAGGCGCCGGCTCGGTGGCCCGGTCCCGCCCCACCGGCGCCGGCTCGGTGGTCTGCCCCTGCCCTACAGGCGCCGGCTCGGTGGTCCGGTCCCGCCCCATCGGCGCCGGATGGGTGGCCCGGTCCAGCCCCACAGGCGCCGGGTCGGTGGTCTGGCCCTGCCCTACAGGCGCCGGCTCGGTGGCCCGTCCCGCCCCACCGGCGCCGGCTCTGTGCCCCAGCTCCCACACCACCCGGCTGTCGCCAGACGGTCTATATGTGCCCTGATGTCCGGCTCAGCCAGATGTCCGCCAGACGGTCTATATGTGCCCTGATGTCCGGCTCAGCCGCCCGCCAGACGGTCTATATGTGCCCTGTGCCCTGTGACGGTCTATATGTGCCCTGATGTCCGGCTCAGCCGCCCGCCAGTCATCCTTGGTGGCGTTTAGGCTAAGCCCGAGCCAAGCCGGCTTGCTCCTTCCAAGCCCTCCTCCCACATGCATCGCAGCGTCTTCCGTAAGCGGCCGGCGGGCTCCCCGCCGCCCTTTGCTCTGGATGCCGCAGCGGTGGGAGGATGTCGATATGTATTATTTTGTGATGGCGCTTATCCTCCATGTCGGTTGGAGTCCCCCAATGTTGTTTTGGCCTCCATCGTTTTGATAGACTATGAAAAAGACTAGAAACGCTAAACCTTACAAAAGTATACTTTTTGGACGCTTTTGGATGACCACGACTGCTGTGTTGATGAAGTCAAGGACTACGTGGTAGATAACATATTTTTTAACTTGTTGTTTTCAAACAAGTCAGCCAATTCCGTCGGAGACTATACATTTGGGATGAAAGCTAGGTTGCCGAGCTTGCGTTTCGGCCCCTCCACTAATGTTCAACGCTCCGTCAGCAGTAACAACCGCCGGACGCCGAAGCTCATGCGTTAGCGCGTTCGCCCCGTTAAGTGGGCCGGAATGCGCAGTATCGACGCGCTGAGTTTGTGCATCTGGGTCGATCTGTTTATAGAGCCGGTGGCCGCGTCGGTTGCTGTAGCCACCTGCCAGCCTGCGAGGCGGCAGCGCTAAGCGGCGCTGACAGGCCGCCTGGCGCGCCGCCATGTTCCAGCACGGTCGGCGCCCTGACCCGGCGCCGTGACGCGGCGTCCGCCGCTGCCCTCTCAGCTGACCTCAGCGCTGGCGATCAGCGGCGCCTCGCGGCGCCGGCGCGCGCCGGCCGTATTGGCGCCGTGGCACCTGCCGTTGCATGAGGCGCGCTCGGGTTGAGATTGCCGCGGATTGGAGGCTGCGGCCACGGCGTGACGCGCGAGAAAACGGTCGAGGTCCGAGCTTCAGACGGTTCAGATGGGATTGCTGTCCATGTTTGTCCTGTTTGTCTTTCGAAGGTGTCAGACATTGCATATCTGCCCATTATTCAGCCAGGTTCTGAGTCCCGCTGAGTCTATCACAAAGATCCAGTGCATAAGCTGCAGTGCACGAAAGAATGCTGAAGACGGAGGCGTAACATAGGGCGATCGGCCTGTCATGACGTAG